CATTCTGCTTGGGATGTCCCAGCAATTGTGTCCCCAGCAGGTGAGAGCCCAGGTTCTGACTTTCATGACCTTTCTGCCTTCCCTTGGCTCTTTTACAGAGACACCTGACTCCCATGATACTTCTTGTTAAGGCAAAAGCAAAAAAGATAGAAGTGGGCAATGACTGAAAATAGCTAACCCGCTTGAGAGTGATAAAAGCATCTGTTGAAAATCTGGTAACCAGATCTCCTTGGTACCAGAAAAAAAAAACACACACACACACAAAAAACTGGTGGGTGGTGTACACGGTACAAAGAAAGGGAGTCCCTGAGTGTCAGCATCTGGCGAGGCCACGTGTAGCATAATCTGATTAGTTTTCAGTTCCACACCCACAAGCTGAAAGATAAAAACGCACACCCCTCCTCCCTGAGGAGGTAAAAATCTTCAAGCATCAACACCACATTTACATTCTGCAAGTCAGCCTCTTCCATGGCCCGATTTACATCTTGACTTCTCCAGCGGAGCAGTGGAAGTTCAGTGATGAGAGACGAGCTCACGTCCCTTTCCAGTTACCACATCCAGCAGACTCGAGATTGCCTTGCTTTGATCTGGGAGACATTCCTTCGTTTAGTTTAAACTGAAATGATTAAGCTAGAGATGAAGCCTCCTCACATCTTCTGCCATGCCTGGGATGTGATAATTGAACATTAGCTTCCATGGGCCATTTTAACATGTTCTGAGGCCGTCCTGGACTGGCGAGCTGAAGCAGCAGTGTAGGCACTGGCTGGCTGGCTGCAGTTTGCACTGACTTTATTGCACTCTCTCAGTACTATTTTCTGGTTTGGTTCGTGTAAAATGGCCAAAGTTGGTACTGGAGTGGATTAATGGCAATGTTTTCTGTCTCCAGAAACTAATACTCAGGTTGGTGTTTGGCTTGAAATAGCCGAGTAGCGGTGAGGGACCAGAATATTGCTCGTCATTTAGGTGCGAATAATGGATTTCTAATATCTAACATGTTTTGTACTATGACAACAGGCAAATCAGAACATCTTGTAGAGCTTTTGTCTATTAACTCTCAGTTTTTCTCATCTCTTTCCCATCTCCTTGCCTGTGACCTGATCTATTCCAATGGCCCCTGGGTCCCATCCTTATTCAGTAACTCATGGGACAGCCTTGATCTTTTGGACTGCAATTCGTATCCAAGACTGCCTGCGTCCGTAACCATTTTCTCCCCCTGCCAACCCAATCCATTCCACAAAAATGCACTAAATGCAGTGTTGCAGGCATTGGGATAGCTGCAGCATTATTTTATTCTATTCTTTATGTAGCTTTTATATTGCTTTTTAATGTACTCACTGCTGCAGCAGATCACAGATTCTCCCTGGGCTATCCACACTTGCTACCCTAATCTTTTTTCCTGAAATAAAATTACACCTCATGACTGAGACCAAGGAATACAGCTTTTCTTAGCACACTCCCCTGGGATCAGGAATTTCTCTGTCAACGGACACATATATCAATGAGAGATGAAAAGCAGCTTGTGGAATGAGTTTTAAACATGTATCACATATTTCATTGCTGCTGCTTATGTGCTACTCAGAAGGCCTTTTTAGAGTGTTTTCAGCCCATACCTCATGGCTCCTCTGTACTTAATAGGATTTTTTTTTTTTTTCCTGCACAGGAATCAGGGCAAGAGATTTATTTAAGTTGCCTACACTCCTTTGTGAGCACCTCCTCAATATGAAGTTTTTGTTGAATTTCCTGCTTACTTTCAACGTGAGCACGTCTTAGCTTTTATCAAAGCATAGTAACCCATAACGTGCGAAGCTGTAATGTAATCTCATCTCACTGGGACATTTCACTGGGGGAGTGTGGCTCCTTCTGTGGATCTCTGTCACAACACGACTCTGTGTTACAACCCTAAATTTTAAATGTCCAGAAGGGGAAGGCAAGTCTGCCTTCGGCCCCTTGCTGGTTTCTGGGGACTTGCAGTTCCATTGATGCCTGGGGTCTTCCAGATGTGCATTTAGCTCTCTTTTCTCGGCATTTTTTTTTGGGGGGGGGAGGTGGCAACACCCAAACCCACACGTCTCTAGATCATTTCAGTTCAACCAGATGTGGGAATCTTTCTTCTTATTTATTTTTCCCCCCTCTTTTTTTTCTCTTTTTTCTTCTTTTTTTCCCCCTGCCTACACTAAAGTGCACTGCTATCCTGTTGAATTTTGCCTTTCTGTGATAAAGCTAGTTCATTATAATAATAATACACAATTAAATATAAACTCTTTTCTAGCAAAGCTATGCACAGGCAAACAGAGCGTGATGAAGACAAAGCTGGGGGTTATCGGGCACAGGTTCGTGCAGGAGTGGTGACCTGTATAACAAGTGTTCATTGAGTTATCCGAAGACAGTTAAAAAAGCTTGAGCACTGGTTTGTTAGCGATTCTTTAGCAAAAAGGGCACTGTATGAACATAGCACAGGATTTTTCTACAAAAATTCAAAATTTCCCTTTGGGTGTGGATTCATTCACAGATAAAGTCAGCCCTGGTGTGTGAGGCCATAGATAGGCCAAGAAAGTGCTTTATTTTGAGCCCTCTTGAATTTGCTGAAATGTGATTAGGAATGAGTAGAAGAGAAAAGGGGAGGGGAAGTAGATGCCTTTAAAAAATGGAGTGGAAAATATGACTGGCAAAGGGAAAAGGAAATACATAAAAATTGTGGAGGAAAAAAAGATGGAGAAGGAGAAATCCCAAGAGAATACTGACTCTGTGTGTGTGTGTGTAAAAGTGGCTTCTTCATATTTAGCAGCACCTAGCTTGTACAAGTTGTAATTTAAATAGGTTGAAAAGATAATGCTGAAGACTACCAGATTAGATGTTATCCTGTTAATTAAGCTGCCATTACGGAGTTGTTACAAGCCCACCAAAAATCGTTCCCCATTTAAAGTGATTGACACCTCCTGAAGAGAGGAGTAGCCACCCATGTCAGCTCTAAGTAGAGCAGCACCTTCTCCTTAAGGAGAAAGCTCCCGCCTACCCTGTGCTTTTAGACTGAGTCATCCTGAGGGAGAAAAACCATACTTCAAAGTACAAAATAATGGGTCAACTAATTAATTTTTTTAAATTGCTAGAGAATTTTCTCCAAAATTAAATTCCATCCAGTTTCTTCTCATCTCTCAACCTGAATCCTTCACTTCTCTATCTAGAACCATGATTTCTCTGCACCTCTTTTGGATTTAGCTGTCTAGTACTGACATCGCTTTACCTATATGTCATGTAGGCACCATGGTCGCAGTTAGATGATGTGAACCCATGTGCTTCAGTACTGTGGTGAGAGGTACCATTAAAAGGCATTTTTTTTAAGAGTGGTAGTCTGATAGTTCAACCTCAAGATTCAGTGGCCTCATGTACGCTTTTAAAATAAATTAACGGGTGCTAGAATTGGTTCTCTGGCCCTAAGACCAATGGGACAATCTGACTGTATCTGCAAAGCTGAACTCTCGTAGCCTCCAGACAGATGGCTGTGTTCACGCTGCTGAGGGACAACGCGGATTATCTGAAGCCACTGGGGATCATCTGGAAGGGTTCAAGCCCAAACCCTACCAAGGACCCTTCTTATTGTTAAAAGCGTAAAAATATCTTAGCCAGTTACTGCTTGTGCCTGTCCCCGGCACTGCTTACAGGGATGGAGGCAGACGTGGTTCTGGGTTGCGATCAGAGGGTATGCGCTCCCGTTTCAGCTCTGCCAGAGGGTTTTTGTGTGACCTTGGTCAGTAACTTAGGGTAAGATTCATTCCATTTAATGTTGAGTAATGGTGAGGGTGTCTAATTAAACTAGTCATGTGTGCTCCCTCTCTGATCAGAGAAGGAAGAGAAAGCAAATTCAGAAGGTGAATCATCCCATTTTAAGGCTTGTGTCAGAGACAAATGAGATGAATTGCCCTCTGGAAGTAGCTATTTCTTTCCATTAACTGTAGAGGAAGTCTACATTAGAAGAGTTTAGACTAGATGCCTGATTTATGAATGGCTAAAGTTAAGTAAAATTAGTCCTGACCCTAATCTCTATGCATGCCTGTTTCTCCATATGTTGAATGATAGAAATAACACCTTCTGCACCTCACATTCAAAGGTGCCGTTGGGCGAGAAGCATCCTGTAACTACTTGGGAAAGAAATTAAACCTAGGAGCAAAAATACAACAATTAGAGAAGTAAAGCCTTTACTTTTGAAACAGCTCAAGGACAATATGAGCAGTATCACTTGGGGCATCCTGTTGCTTTTGCCATTTTTCCCTTTTACATTTTGACAACCGAGCACCTATAAATGAGTGTTGCCAATGCGGCCATATGGCACGAGGGCAGTTAGCCTGGTTTTGGGGAGAGGAGTAGGAGCACTGAGGAAGGCTGACCATGCAAGGGAATGTAGGACCCAGTCTTGGCCAGCAGCTTTGAAGGTTTTCCTTGTGATACTGCTCTTCTCAAATGACAGTGACTATTTACTTTTTTGAAAATCTCCCAGAGGAATGAAAGCTAATGACTAACTGTGATAGAGTTAAAGAAAAAAAATAAGGGGAGAAGAAAAGCTTGCATTTCTTAGCAAAAATCCACAACATATAAATCAGGCATGGAATAATTGTCCCACTTGATAACTTGTACTTAGGAGGCTTGCTTTTGGAAAAGAAAGTTTGCCCCTTTAGCTATCTAGTGTAGTTAAAGCAGGGAAAAAAAAAAAAAGACAAAAAAGACCTTGTGTGGGTGTCCTGATAAGTGCTTATTGTGATCCAAATTGCAACACGTTACACTCTCTATGGGCACAGTTGTGCTCCATAAGGCTTTAACCAGCACAACCATGTCCAAAACACAAATCCCCCCACCAATGTCACTGTGTTGTTGGGGTTAGCTGAGATACCTCTAAGTCCGTTAAACCTAATAACAGGTCCTTAGGGCCATTTGGGGTTTTTTTGGGGGTGTGTTAAATTACTAAATCTTGTTATTAACGCTTTTATTTTATGATTTGCTGTTTCCAGGGCACAGACAGAAGCTTGATGACTCTAAACCTAGTTTGTTCTCTGAACGCCTCAGTGATTTAGGGCGCATTCCTCATCCCAGTATGAGAGTAGGGGTCCCGACCCAGAGCCCACGGCCCTCTCTGAACTCTGCACCAAGTCCTTTTAATCCACAAGGACAGAGTCAGATTACAGGTAAGAGACAGAACCATAGGTTTGACTTGCACAGGCAACAGTAGTAATTGCTTATGGATATTTGTGTCTCAACTGCAGTAAAAGAGGCTGTTATAGAGCGAGAGATGTGTTCCAAGCAAAGCTAGGTGGGAAGTGGATTTTTCTATAGTGTTTGAAGCTGAAAATGTCTTTCTTTTTTTTTAAATATCTTTTTGCCATAAAACCAAAATAATCCAAAATAGTCAATCCAGGTAAATCGAGTAGGAATCTGGCAAAATTCTAACTGCCACGTTGCTCTGCCTTCTCCTCCGTGTGTGCAATAGTACGTATTAGCATAAAATAGAAGGAACATTTTTATTCAGCCTTTTTATTTTGCACTCGTGTTGAGGGAAGCGGCCAGCATTTAATGGTCTTTCTATCGGAATAATACTACAATCTTCTCATGTGGCGATTTCCTTCTAGCACCAGTGCTGACCACTGTTATAATAAACGAACTGGGTTATGGAGAAATCTCTAAAGGTTGCTTGTGAGGGTTGTATGCAACATTTATGATTGCATGCTGAGAGACAGATTTCATTGTGCTGAGAGAAATCATAAAGTACCATGTGTCACAGATTATAAGACTGAAATAAGATGTTTAACTGCAGCTATGCCAGAAGTTTACAACAAAACTGTGAAGCCTACAAAATAAAACCAATTTTTCTCGTTTTTCTAAATTCAGAGCTGGTTAAATTTTTCAAAAGAGTTTCAAAGCAACCTCTACCTAATTTTGGCCATTTCTACAGTCAAAACTTGTGCTGACATATTTGTGTCTATCCAGGATGTGAAGAGCTGTTGCCCCTGACCAATTCACTTGCTAAAACTGTTGAAGAACTTCACTTAGATGCAAGTCTGTCAACAAAATTCTTGGCTCAATTTACTAGACCGATTAAAAACTCAGTTTCGCTGCTATAGTTGCATCTACACCAGGAGTCCTTTGCCAATGTTATATACCAGTATTCCTTTACTGGTAAAGCACTCCTAGTATAGACATAGTCTTTGAGTCAACCTAGGAAGATTTCTGGTTTCATGTTTCAAGTGGTTTTGACATGATACCAGCTGAAACTTAGTGGTTTTAACAAAGTGTTGTGGCTTTCTTCGTCTTTCTTTTTCTTCTTTTTTAAGTTCAACTGGTTTATTAATTTGCAGTAAGAAGGAGAAGTAAGTGGGTTAATTTGAACCCAAAGCACTCAGAGAGTTGAAACGAAAAAATTGTTCCCATGAGCTGTGGCAAAGTTCTCCCAGATCTAGAAGTATAGCTTCAACTAGTGTAAAATGTTCATAATATATTAAATATGTTGGTAGTACCCATTACATGCTACCTGCTGCCCACCAGCTTCCCAGAGCAGGTTTTTTGGCCGGGCTTAGTGTTTTGTTTTGTTCATTGGACATGTGAAGTCAGGGCCCTTGTGCATATCATTTTCTGGGTAAGACCTGCCAAACTAAAGCCCAATATTTTTTCTAACCTACTGTCTTCTCTCTGGCAGTGTTTGGGGACATAGTTCCTGAGAAAGCAGGGGGAAAATCCATGGCTATAATCAGCTTTTTTCCTTCTTCCTTGTGCCTCCATAGTTTACCTATTGTGCAACACTATATCTAGGAACGAAGGAGGGTGAAATTCTTCCTGACCCCATCTGGTGATCAGCTTATGCCCTGAAGCACGAGAACTGAGATCCCCTTGTAATTTTCTTCCTAGCTAAGTGTAACCTCATATGCTGCTCTCATTCACATAAATGCCTCCTGTAGAAAATGTTCTGCTGGCTTTGATTAATAGAGTACTTCTCTGCCTCGTTATGAATCAGCAGCAGCATTTAAAGATCCGGGAGGTGAAAACTTTAGATGAGCTTTAAATAAGCCTGACTGGAAACAAAGCTGTGTGGCATTCGCTGTCTTCTCTGCAAATCTAAGAGTCAGCAGTTCAAAGGACCAGCTGAGACTTCATCCAGAGAGGGAAGATGCGGTGGTGGAAGGGCAGAGGGAAGTGAGCTGAACTGAGGAAGGCAAGCTGACTGTCCCATTGATTGTGGAGTATGTGCTTTTCTTGCTGGATAAACTCACGGTCGTGGGATACTTTAGAATCCCAAATTGCTCTCGTTTCCCCCAAAAGAGTGAGTGCTCAGCCGCTTATTAAAGTTTGCAGTGAATAAGTGGTCTCATACAGTATTTGCCATGTTATTCCCCACCCTTGTCTCCTCCTCAATTTAGAAAGTCAAAACACCCAGCCCTCCAAGGCTACTCGTTAGGTTTCTGGTAGCCCTCCCATTTAATAAGGCGATTAGCGTGAGCATGTTACATCGGTGTGAGCTCTGTGAATTGCGCTGGCTTCCCCAGAAGGCTTTTTGGTGCTCTTCAGGACGTTGATTGTAATCTGTAAAGCTCTACACGCTTTGATGTTCCACCAAAATGCTGGGATGCTTTTTGCGGACAGTCCCTCCGAGTTCTTCTGGGATGAAGGGATGCTCGTTGCCGCACAAACTCTGCCAACAAGAGACAAAGTTGATGCTGCAGATGAGGCACCTCTTTGATCAGGTGTTAGCTGGCCATGGGAAATGGCTAAATGTCCGCCTGTTTGGTGTGGTAGCAGGGAGTGAGCTGTTTGGGCTCCACCAGTTTCCTTGTTGTGGTGCGATATTCAGTGGGAATACCACTGGCTTCTTAACATGGTCACTGGGCTGGTATGGCTTGAGTATATGTTAAAAAGGAGAATAGATCCTTGTCTGAAAAACAAGGATCTTTTTATTACCTTTATTGGAATTAACCAAGCATTCCTTTAGAAATACCTTTGTTTCTTAATCTTTTTACCTAGTAATTTAGGGAAAATAATTAATTCCGAATAACTTCAACAGTAAATACTGGTTTCCTACGACGAAATCCATGTTATTGCTAGTAAGCACATAAACTGTTTTTGTTTCGTTCCCCTTGAGGTCTTGCATAGCTATTGCATGATTAAACAGAAATAATATTTAAAGCCTGGCTGGCCCACACCTGAGTCTGAAAGAACTCAGCACTTCGGGGTTCACTCTTATATTTCTTTTCTCTGTCTAGGTTGTGTTTATTTTCCTAGAGTATCGGAGTACAGGTTTTACAAATCACGGCACAGTCCTAAACCTACCACAGGACCTGGCTGTGGCAGTACAAGGCACAGAGTTGCCCTTATTCAACATGGCATTTTAACTAGGATTCTGCAAAAGCAACATCGAAGGGTCATTAAAAAACAAATCGTCCAATAAGCAGATGCCTTTGCTGAGGCAATGCAGATTCAATTTGAACCCCGCTTGCTGCCCATAAATCAGGAATCCTGTCTGCTCACATTTGGATACTGGTATATTTGCTTTTTTATTTTTTTTCCCTTTCCCTAACGGCACTCGCACAACTTGCTCACGTATCCGATTACGTTCCCGTTCAGGCACAGAGCTGTTGCATCAGGGTTTCAGTACGAAACGAGGAAAGCTGTTGTTTTTCTAAAACGCAACCATTTAGGATTAGCTTCTATGGGCCAGGAAAAGCCACGGGTGTAATGGCAGGAATGTGGTCGGCGCGAGGACCCCGGCGGCCGGGCTGCGGGGACTGCGAAGTGGGAGTTAAGTGAGGTTTCATGCTCCATCACCACTGTGGCACCGTCTGATCTATAGGCAACCTGTGACTTTCATCACTGAAATAACAGCACTCAAAAGCAGGTCCCGTGAAATCTTTTTTTTTTTTTTTTTTTTCCTTTTCCTCTTCCCCTCCCCATGCACTTCAGGGATGTTATGCTTTCACTTCTCAGCATTTCTAGGGTTGTAGGAAGCAGATTTAAAGGCTTCAGAGCTGGCTTACCTGGCAGTTAGTGAGGGGACCCATCTCCACTAGCAGGCAGGAACTGGTTTCACGGGTGGTGTAAACCGAGTCTGCTGGGAAGACCATGGGCAGAAAGCACCTTCGACTCTCAGATGGAGGATGAGGATGGTACCAGCTGGGCCCTCCTTAATTCCCCCATTCGGGACTTGCAGGCAATGGGCTGGATGCTGCCCTTTTGCAGAGTCACTGGGAGGGCAAAAAGCCATGCTCATCACAGCGTTGTCCTGGGCTCTAGATATGAAGCTGTGCAGCATCTGCCTCAAGGACCAGTGTCTCTTCTCCGAGACCACCAGCTGCAGGACAGGTTTGAAACAGAAACTGTATGGCTGTTATTAGACTGGCACTATGCAAGTCCCCTGCCAGGGGTTGGCTGTGTTTTACCTGGGACCAGTAGCACTCTGAAGCACACACCAGTGTGTAGCTGGTGCACATCAATCTGAGAGCACATCAGACAAAGTACGTGGTTGCCTTGAACAGATAATTTAGAAATAACCCAAGTAATAGGCTCATAGGGTGAATTATGCCTTCAGCTTACTATAATGTGGAATAAAAGCTACAAGACTCAGCAGATGAGGGGGTGGAGTTGGGATTTCTGCTGCCGTGAACACAAGGGTGGCTGCAGTCTGCTGTATTTTATGCAAATTGATTGCATCCTTCAGGCAACTGGCAAGTTGCTGTTGTGAACCTCCATTTGGTAAAGGTTGTGTCCCTCCTGTTAAAGTATTCTTTTAACTTTATTTCCCCCACCCCTTTACAATTTAGTTGCCCTACTGGCATGACTTGCTCAGTTTTTTGGTTTTTTTCTTTTCTTTCAGAAATGTGACTCTTGGCGGGGTGGGAGGAGAAATGGTTTTAGAGGTTCTTCAGGCCAAAATCTGGTCTCAATTACGCTTCTGTACATTGGGGTGTAACTCCATTGGTTTTGACTTCATTGATTGAACTGGGCAATCCAGATCAAGCCCTGAGCTTTTAAAGATGCCTAAGAAATAGAGAAGAAAAGGAGGTTGCATTTTTGTTGTTGTTGTTTTGCTGGGGGGGTGGTGTTACAACAATAGTTGGGTTACTCATGCAGAAAGTCATCTTGGCTTTGTTAAGAACAGAAGTGAGGATATTTGCTTTAAGTGTTTACCAAAGATAGCTCCAGACAGCTTGTTTTTTAGTATTGGCAGTAGCACTAATACAATCAGCAGCAGTCAGTGCTAGAGCTGATGGCTGGATTTAAATGAGAGTGGTTTTGCGAAGTGCACGAATGCATGTGATGTTGGGGTGTTATAGATGGTATGTTGAGAAGCTGCGAGCCTGTGATCATGCTCTGATCATGTAACTCAGTTTGGGAAATGGGAAATTGATTTTTTTTTTTCTATAGTAAATCTGTGTGCTTCATAATCCAGTGCCAAAGCAGTGGAAAAACTCATTCTTCAGGGCAATTTATGGGTTTTTTCTTCTCTCCATTGACACTTCAGAACATTTTCATTGAAGGAAGAGAAGTCACATTGCTGGAGAGCCAATGTCATTGGTGGGAGAACGGGTCACTGGGTTTTTTTCTCATTCTTTCTTGTTTTTTAGTTTTATACAGCATGTCCAATCTTGGACTGATTTTTAAAACTGCTTATTGTCCATTAAGCATCAATGTCCATTGTCCATTGATGCAGTCAATCACAGATCACAAAGGTCAAGAACCATGTGTATCTCCCACTGACTGTAAATGTGGTAGTAAAATCTAGACACAAAGTAATTTGCAATACTCAATATTTCCTGCTTCGGGAAGGTTTACCTGGAAGTGCAAACAGGACAGAGCTGTTTGTACATTAGTTTAGACCTCGCCCCACTGACTTGTTTCAGCCAAGCTGTGCCTAGGCTTTCTTAGCATACACATGATATGCCCTACTGTGAATGAATATGCTGAAAGCCGCACTTTTCTTCACACCCACGCAGGCATAACAGAAATGTTTACAAAAGGAGGACTGCTCTTAGTAATCGCTCCAAAATTTTCAAGTGCAAATGCCAACTCAAAGTGGCCCTCTGCCTCCTTTGCTGTTGTTGAATGCTCTGCTAGCCCTTCCCAGGGGGGAAGATGGGGGGCTTTCTCCTGAGCTGTTTGCTGTATTTTTATATTAGTGTTTTCCCTTGTTTTGGGGGGATTTCTTTAGGGAGGAATCCACATTTGCTCTGCCTCAGAGCTCTAAGGTTTCTCATCTGTTCTGGGCTTCTCACGATTGGGAAGATGTGCTGTGCCTGCAGAGCACATGGTGCTTCGGGTGACGGTGCAAAGCCCCTGGCCCACAGGGACCTGACGTGCAAGCCTGCCAGCTGGAGCGAACGGGGAAGCTGGTCTTTGGTGTAGGAGGCCAAGGAAAACCTCTCACAAATCTGCTTGTAGCTTCTTCCAGTCACTCCAGCCTTTCTGTGCCTGACCAAGGAGGAGGTGACCCTCCTAAGGACGTTGTTGTGTTTCCCTCAGAAACATCTGCATGGATCTGCCTTGGAAATGCTGTTCTGGCAGCTGGCACCTCCCCATGGTGCTCCCAGCACCCTCCTTGCCCCCAGAAGGTTTGGTTTGGTGGCGTGTGGAACCAGAAGATATGGGCTGGTTGGGCCTCAGCAGCCAAAGTCTCTGTTCCAGCAATGTTGCAAGGAACATCTTCTGGTGGGACCAAAGGGTGCCACATGAGACCGAGCTGCACGTCCGCCTTCAAGGACTAGACGAGGCAGCTTTGGACTCTGCCTCGCGACATTTTACTCTGGGGATTGGGCAATGCCGCTGAGCAGTGACGTTTACCCTGTGGGCTAGCAGGTCACCTTTGACTTGGCAAGGCGAGGGTGTTTCGCTGCTCTCTCCTCTCATGTCCACGCAAACCTTGGCTGCTGTCAGTCAGCAGGGGCTGGTTTTAGGGCATTTACTCTACGATCTGGTGAAACTTGTGTCTTCACTTTCCGCTTTCCTAACAGGCCAAAGATAACTCTTGAAGCCTGTCAGCCCCAGGGCAAAATTCCCCACCCTGCCTCAACCATGACTTCAGCCATGCCTTGGTGTAGAGGAATCACAGTAACCCTCCAGCCTGGGGTATTGTGACCTTCTCCTCAGTCACTGAGCTCTGATGGATCATCTGATGTTCGATTTGGTTGAGGATTTTCCTCTTTGTTATTTCCTATTCCCTGAGAAGACATGATCTCATTTCCCTGGACCTAAGTTGCTTGCACTCTAGTTTCAGAGGGGCTGAAGTTTCCACCTGAAAATCTGGGTTGAAAGCTTCCATCCAAGATAAGCACCCCATTTTGTGAGTGAGGTACTCAGAGAGTGCCTGCACCTTAAACAAATGACCAGCTAAATATGCAATATATCATTATTGTCCTTAAATTTAAGTAGAAATTGCATCAAATGGAGGTTGGGTGAGTTACCCAAGTCCAACAGGAGATCTGCTTCAGGGCCAGAAGCAGTTAAGTCACAGCACAGTATCTTCACTAAGAGGCCATCCTCTTTTTTCTCTTTCTCTAAAATACTTAGGTCTTTAAAATCTCATGGTATTGGACTCATGGAAAGCTGAAATCAAATATGTATATCTAAAAAAGAAATGTGGTATTGCGGCTCTGAGGTTAGAATGAGCTATAGAAGCTGCGTATAAATTTAAGCTAGATGTCATAAGAATATATGATATGTTTTGGGGTCAACCGATGGTCCATCCAGCCATATTCTGCCTCTGACAGCGCAGTATGAGGTGCTGTTTTGAAAGACCACATGAGCCTTTGAAAGACCACTTTTTGCCTTTTGTACTTCTTGTGTCCACACAGGCATTCACAGTTGTTGGATTAAGGATGCTAGGTGTCAAACCAAGTCTAGCATGGGTGTTCAAAGTGGTGAGGGTGCCAGAGATGCTCAAGATCTTTTCAGGCCATGAGGATTGCACCACCAGAAGTGGCATGAACTTCCAGAAGGCAGCTCCTTTCCTGAGGTTTTCACCATCTTAGACCAAAATCCTGTAAAAACATCCTCTGCCATGATTTTTTTTTTTTTTTCAGCCTTTACCTGCTATATAATTTCCTTCCAGCATTGGAGCTGACTTAAAACCAAAACTTTAAGGGAATCTGTTTTGGATTCGGAAGCAGAGATTGAAAGGAGCTTGGAGTTTGAAGCAGCTTGGATTTGAGATTGTGCTCCTGACACATCATTAATTTTAAGATTGTTTTCCCAGCAAGCCTCGGCTTTCCGTTCCCAGTTGAAGATCATTTACCATTGACTGCATGGTGAATTATAGTAGTGGAATGAGGCAGAGAAATATGTTGATATCAGATACAACAACGAGCAGTCAGTCAGATTTGAACCTGCGCCAATCCATACAACCCTGGCCTTGAAATTGTTAAAACAAAGAAGTTCATTACATTTAATGATCAAGTGTCCTTCGGATTTCTGAGGAGTTTAGGTTAACAATTTCTATTACTCAGCTCTAATATAAATGGCAAACTCCAGGAAAATCCTCTTAAAATTAAATTGGAAAGTTGGGGGGGGGGTAGGTTATATATCTATATAGTTATTTTGCTTCAAGGAAGTATCTGCTTTCCAGACATCTCTTCAAACAAATCATGTCTGAACAGAAAAAATAAACAAGGAATAGCTGAAACTACAAGGTTTTGCTGTGTGGAAGAGCAGGGAAAGGAGTTAAAAAAAGGAAAAAAAAAAAAAATGTTGAATTTCCTGAAAAAGTGCCTTTGCTTATGCCATGTGGCTATCACATTGCTGTCTACAAAGTAGGGCCTTAGCACAGCGCTCTGACATAGCAGGTTCTCCAAATTGAGTGGACCTGATGTGCTTCACTGAAAATATTGGGGAGGATTTGGAGGGATATGCTACAGTTTCTGCGAGCCAGTTCAGAGGTAGTTTTCTGTTTATCGTGGAGTGCCCGAAACAAACTTTGGGGTTGAAAGTGCTTTGTTTTTATTGATGTAAAGAAATAAAAATAATAATGTATGAGGCATTGAGTGGTATCTTTATCACCAGATATTAACTGAGAGCAAATGGTTTATAAATCCAAACACCAGTGAGTAAAACTAGGTCTCCCTCTCTCTCACTTAGTGCAATCCACCAGTGCCTCAGCAAAAAATAAACTGTATTTATCCTTAAAATCATTTCCTCCACAGTGAGCTGCAGCAAGTACATCAAGAAGCATCATTAGCTTCCGATAGTTATCCCAAACCATTTGGTTTCAGAATGTTGTAATTGAGGTGACTGTAGGTAATTGGGCCAGCATCCAAATGTGACATTTTTGGCCGGATGCTGGTAAGATTAATGACATTTTCCTTCTTGGATAGTATTTTCAGCACTGAAAACACTACTGTGTAATGTTTGGACTGGATAACAACTTGACAGGCGTGCCAAGTGCTGTCTGTAGAGTCTCCCCACCTCTGACGTCCACTTCCTAAGCTCGGACGTGGGTCTCGCACTCGCTGTCTGCTTATCTGTCCGAATCCTCCAGGACTGGCCAGTCTTGGTATAACACGCTGTTAGACCTGGATGAGAGACACCAGGAATGTGCAGCACAGCTGCTCGATCTTTTAAAACTCTGGTCACTGCTCTGTTCATTTCCCCCCAAAATTATGGGGAGGGAAAAGCACAGAGCGAGGCTTGAAGGGGTTGAGTCCTAGAGGAGCAGGTTGTGCTTCATTACGTTCTCATTCCTTATAGCACTGATGTGTATATGTTCAGTAATCCCACCTCTTTCAATTAGGCTGTTGATGCCCTAAAATTTTTCTTCCGTTTTTAAAATATTTCTCTTTTATTGTTTTTTTTTCCTAGACCCCAGGCAGGCGCAGTCATCCCCGCCGTGGTCCTATGACCAGTCTTATCCATCCTACTTGAGCCAGATGACTTCACCGTCCATTCACTCCACAACTCCCCTGTCCTCCACTCGAGGCACAGGACTTCCAGCCATTACCGATGTGCCCAGACGCCTCTCAGGTAAAGACCATGTTTTGCCTAAAACAATTAAGCAGATAGGAACCGGACTGGCAGAGGCTGCCTCCGTGGCCTCAGACAAACCTTAAGAAGAGCAAAGCTCAGTTGGTGATAACAGGGTTGCTGCATGGCGGGTGGGGGTCAAAGTCTCCTTTTTTTTCGAAGTGGAAGAGCTGCTGTGTTGCTCTGAGCATGTATCATTTGAATGTCTCTAGGTCCATTTCAGATCGGGCTGGTTTTAAATTGTGAATCTTATTCTGTGAACAAATTCTTTCTTTTTTTTCCCCTACAAGAGGATGTTTACTTGCATGTTTTAAAGTAATTGTGATATTCTCTATTTTTTGGTGCTTTACTTTTGTGGTGTGTGTGATGTTAGGCATCCTGACAGATAGATGCCTTTATTTCTTCAATAGTTAAGGCTAAGATTCGTTCTCCCGCATTTCCATCCAGTAGCTCAAGAAAGCCTATTTCCTTAGTTAATGTGTACTTAAGATGCCTATCAGAAACTAGCTGAGTCACTTTAGGGTAAAGATTGGACAAATTGTGCTTTGGAATGATGCAGGAGAGAGGAAATACATTTAGGAACACAGACAAGACAGCAGTGAGGAACTGAGACTTTTTTTTTTCATCAAACAAATGTATATTTACATACTGTGCAATTCATCTCTAATGGTCTCAGTGATAAAACCATCTGTGTGAAGTAATCTGATTGCCCCAAAGTAAGATAGAGCCTGTCATGGCACACAGTCACCTTGTATATCTTGCCAAAAATGAGGAACCTTAGGGGAGGGAGGTTCAGTATTAAAACTCCAACCTTGCAAGTGTGGAAATATTAGCAGCATATGCCAAAAAAGCATGTGTAATGTAAAGAAAGCCTTTATGATTCATTAATGAAAACCAAAGAATCAGTCTTATTACATCTATTTTTTGCATGTTTGCAAGATATTATTATAATCTTGGATGCTGCTGCCATACACCTGTTTGACTCGCAGCCAGGTGAATTTCTTGCTGTCGTGTTTTCCCCTACCACCAAGCTCATAGCACTGGAAATGTTCATCACTCCACTGAGCTGCATCACTGACAAGCTGAACTTCAGCCAGGAGGCATGTAGGGTTTGATTAGCGTAGACTCCTTGATTTCTTTCATCTTGGAGGAGGGAAGCTTTGTTTCTCAAACAAACAGCTGCAAAAACCTCTGCGGTCCTAGCGCGCTCTGCCTTCTCGGAGATGCTGAACATCTCCGTGTGGGCCGAAGGTTGGAGAGTGGTGGAGCAGGTTTCCGCGGGCTCCCTGTGCAATGCGCTGACTTGGTTCAAAAAACTCGACCGGCTTGATGCTGAGGAAATGCTTTGTTTGGCCCGAAACAGGTTCCCTTTGAGTCAGAGCCTCCTGATGGTCTGTGTTGTCGGAATGGGTTATTTTTGCAATTGTGCCCCCAGCGATACCTCCAGGAGAGGCTCGGCTGGGACCACGGCAGCTGTACCACCGCGTACTTGCCCTGCAGCCCTTGCTTGTCTGTGTGTATTCAGACGTGAGCGCCTGGCATGTGGGCACAGGCAGAATGACTAAAAGACCTGGCTGTGTACATTATGTGGCCGCAGCCTGAACTTTTCTGCTGTGCTCTACAGTTGGTCGCCTTCACGCTTCTCGCCCTTCATCTTTTGGGGGCTCAAGCGATGCCTCTGCAATGCTCTTACCTTTTCCCAGCGTGGGGACGTTGCTTCCAGTTAGATTCAAGATTGAAAAAGGGGACTTTGATTTTCTACAAGTGCCAGAGGTTGTCTGCAGTGTTTGCTGACGTTCAGAAATACAGAGCGGCGTTCTGGGTGGAGGACGAGCTCTGATGCTCAGGCTGCGAGGAGGCGTGTTGCAGCCCCAGCTGCAAACCCTGCGGTTCCTCTTGAGGGTTTCTACCTAGCAGTGCCACAGGGAGGGAGGGCAGGATCCGCCCCCTCTTGTGGATAAAGTAGAGAGAGAAATGCAAGTTTAAAGCTGCTTCTTACAGCAACCAGTTTATCCCTCGCGCACGGAGAAAGGCGAATCTCCACTCAGTTACTTGATACATCTTTCAGAGGAGAATAGAGCTTTGATGGGGGGAAAAAATGACTGCTAGGAAACACTAAAAACGTTAGAAAACTTCAGGCACCTCCAGTGCATGAGGGAGAAATTAGAGTTTTACAAGGCCTTGAATAAAAACAAACTTTGCTTTCCGATACAGTGGCAGAAATCTGATTATCAAGGCTGTTAAAAGTATACAAGGTAATTTTAATGAATGCCATATTTACTGCCTGTTGCTTAACATCGTGCAGGAGGAAAAATGGGTAAAACTTCCCCCCTAGGCCTTGGATGTCACACCTACAGGCACAGGACTTCCTACCTGCCACAATTTCACATCACCCAGCCTTTCCACAGGTCTCCATGGCTCTGCCTGGACAACTGCTTAAGTTGTGCTCACCCAAATGTTGAAAATATACCATCTGATAAAGCAATCTGTCCTTCAAAAGAGAGGTTCCTGATTGTATTGTCAGCCCTCAAGAGCTATTTTTGATGGTACTCTGATGACCAGAAATACATCCATCCCATGGCCAAAACAGCGGTGTTCCTCCCTGTCCCGGGATGGGTACATCTCTTGGCGATGGGGACGCATGTGTTTCAATCCCAGATTAGGCTGAGCATCAGAAGAGGTTTGGGGCTGTAGGACAGGAGGTGACGGGGGACTGCCATAGCAGTTCATGCAGTTCTCCATCCCATGGGAGAGGGGAAAAGGGCAGCAGGCTGCAACCCTGAGGAGTTATTCGGGCAGGCTGGTGTAATGTGGCTGAACTGGTCGTGTCAGTGTCTAGACTGATTTCTTTGCACAACTGAAATGTTTGCGTGCATGCTGCAGGCACGTGCAAATGAGTGCCCTCGGCTTCAAACTTCAAGTATTCATCTTTTATTCTCCAAATGGGGATCAGTGCTGTATTTGCAGTGTTGTACAACTAATTAATGATGTGTCACACGTATTTGGGCAGTATTCAACAACAGTAGCTGAAAAGCAAAGCAAAAAAAAGATTATCTGGCATCACTCATGCAACTTTTGAACCAATGGTCTCTCTGGTGCGTAAGTCTCATGTTCATATCAAGAAGAAATAAACAATAAGCTCACGAGGCCATGCAATTGACTTACCTTATTGCACCAACTCAGTCATAAAAAGAGAAGGATTCCCCATATTTTATTAAAATATCTGTCTGCTCAGACTTCCCCAGAAGACGGTGAAAGTTGGTGGCCTAGCAGATTAATATTCTTATTTAAATAATATTGTAGTGGAAACCATGGGAATATATGAACATGGTCATTTTAGAGAGAGTTTTGCCTGAGGGACGTAGTCTTACTGCATGATTCATAGTCAGTGCACTCAGTCTTTGTGTCCTATGCATAACCAAAGTGCATGTGGGATGGGGAGCATGAGTGTCTATTATGTAATTAATGTATATGATTCATATAAATACACATCACAGCCATTTTACCTAAAGCTTCGGGACTGATCCAGCGAGTCCTCAGCGCATGCAAGGTTCAGAGCAGAGAGTGGAGGTCGGGTTGTTCCTGCAGTTACAAGAGGGCTGCTCTGGAGCAGGTGAAGGAGGTATGGGTATAGATGTCCCCTGGGGTCGACATCCATGTGTGAGACAGTCACCCTCAGCTCCCTTTTGAGTCAGTGGGGGCAAACCAGCATTTGCAGGACTTGACCAGTCCGCAGATGAGCTGTACTGGTCCCTGGCAGTGCCTTGGAAGAGCCTGTTTGTCTCCACGGGCTCTAAAGCGAGCCTAGGTGAGTAGTTCAGGTACGGGCACGTCTGATCTGATAGTCTGCCTTTGGTGAGGTGATTTAAAGGATGATTTAACTGTCCTATAAACATACCCATATCACAGCTTTGTTACACTTCAGTCCTGGTTTAACCCTGCTGTGGTCTGCCTCACCCTGACCTCTACCTGCTCTGCGATTTCAGGGTTTGAGCTTGAATTTAATTTTGTTAAGAACACTGACAAAGAGAGGTGGGGAGACTTCTTCTTCCCCTATACTTTTCCTGGACCTCCTCACCGTTCTGCCTAAATGCTAGTCTCCTGCTTTTTGCTTCACCTTTGAGAGAGACTTGTGGGGTCAAGGTCTTAAGATGCCGGAGGACCTGCCCTGCAAGTCTAACATGAACACATTGAGCGCTGGCTGTGGAAGAGCCTTGTCCTATGCAACTGTGTTTGACAAATGTCCATATGACAAAGGAGAAAATTAAACTGGAATTTAAATACCAGGGGAAATCACCAAACCTACCTTTTCCAGCCTTGGGCTCACACTCTTTGCGTATAGTTATCAGCTGGCCTTGTGCCACCATGCCCAAACTCTCCCATCCCATGTGCTGGAGTCCCCTCAGTGTGCAGGGTGGATTTTGCTGTCTTTGTATTTATTTACTGTGTCACTGAATAGGGCCACGCTGAGATAGATGAGGGACATGGCGGGCTCAGCCTCTAAACAAAAGAAGTTGCAGACCCATGGCTCTGAACTAAAATGGCCGGAAAGTCGTATCTTTACCAATAAATTACACAGTGGTAGGGCCTCGACTGTTAAATACTGTTACTGTTAAGTTGTCAGCAAGGTTGGTTTTGAGTGGGGTTGGCCAGCATGGTAGCAAACAGATCCCAGCCATGGTTTGGAAATGAGCAGAATCCCGAACCTGTTCCCATGGGCAGCTTGGAGGCAGCCACCCTGTTATGGAGGCTAAAAGGATTTAATATTACAGTTTTGGCCACACCATCCTGGCTGGATTTAGAGCCAGAGAATGGGCCCTGACCCTGGGCTGTTTGCTAGTTTGAGTGTAGCCAAATTTTCCCATTAATTCATCTTGCTCTGTAGATATCACCGAATCGTTTTGGACCATCCTGGACCTTCATCAGATACTGAATTTAAGAAATGTTCCTGTTCTTCCAGCTCACTGAGGGCTGGCAAGTATAAATGCAACCTTGCAAAT